CTCCCTCTTCCGGCGCGCGGCGGCCGCGGGCCACCCGCTCGGCCCCGCGGCCTACAACCTCATGCTGCGCACGCTCGCCTCCACCCCGGACGCCGCGCGGGCCCACTTCTGGCCCTTCCTCCGCGACATGGACGCCGCCGGCCACTCCGTCGATCAGGGCACCTACCTCGCCGCCCTCGCCTCCTTCAAGCGCGCCAGCCTCGCCACCGACTACGCCACCCTCTCCGCCCGCCTCGCCAAGTCCCGGGCCGACCACGCCGCCTCCGGCGGCACTCCCGTCACCGCCCTCGCCGACGCCGTCCGCGGGCTCGACCCCGACCAGCCGGGGGCGGACGAGGAGCTCGAGACGAAGCTGGAGGGCGTCGCCGAGCAGCTGCTGCCGCTCACGGAGGCCGCCGTGGCCGGGGTGCTGCGGGAGGCGAGGGACGTCCCCGCCAAGGCGCTCGCTTTCTTCCGGTGGGCCGGCCGGCAGGACGGGTACGAGCACGGGTCCATCGCCTACAACGCGATGGCGAGGGTGCTTGGCCGGGAGGAGTCGCAGCGGGAGTTCTGGGATCTGGTGCAGGAGATGAAGGCCGGCGAGCTGCACATCGACATCGATACCTACATGAAGCTGTCCCGGCAGTTCCAGAAGCGCCACATGATGACCGAGGCCGTGGAGCTCTACGAGCTCATGATGGACGGCCCCTACAAGCCCGCGCAGCAGGACGGGCCGCTGCTCCTCCGGCGCATCGCCATGGGGCCAGAGCCTGACCTCGAGCTGGTGTATCGAGTGGTGAGGAAGTTCGAGGCCGTCTACGAGTTCAAGACAAAGAATGTGTTTGACGGGATCCACAGGGCGCTCACAAGCAATGGCAGGTTCGACGAGGCCGCGGAGATCGTGGAAAGGATGAGAGGCGCTGGCCACCAGCCGGACAACATCACTTATAGCCAGCTGGTCTTTGGGCTGTGCAAGGCCGCCAAGTGCGATGAAGCTCGCAAGGTGCTCGATGAAATGGAGGCTGAGGGTTGCACGCCGGACTTGAAGACCTGGACCATGTTGATCCAAGGGCACTGTGCCGCTGGGGAGGTGGACAAGGCTCTGCAGTACTTGACAGAGATGATCGAGAAGGACTTGGAGGCAGACGCCGATTTGCTGGATGTGATGGTGAAAGGTCTGTGCAAACAAGAAAAGATTGATGCGGCTTACACTTTGTTTGTTGAGATGGTGGACAATGCCAAGTTGAACCCTTGGCAAGGCACTTACAAGCATATCATTGCTGAGTTGCTGAGGGTGAAGAAACTCGAGGAGGCACTGGGCCTTCTTAAATCAATGAAAGCCCGCAAGTTTCCACCTTTTGCAGACCCCTTCCCTTCAAACATCGCTGAATACGGGACGCTTGAAGATGCCAGGGACTTTCTCAAGGCCTTGAAAGGATCGTCTAATAACTATCCGCAGCCCCCTATCTATGTGCAGATGTTCAAGGCATTCTTCGCGGAGGGGAGGTACTCAGAAGCTCAGGATTTACTCTACAAATGCCCCATCCATATCCGCAGGCATCATGATGTCACCGAGCTGTTTGAACCAAAAAAAGTTCAGGCTACTGCTTGACTGAAACACAATAAATTGTTGGTGAGATTATGGTGAACTCCTGCTTTCGCATACTAGCTAGCTGTTGTTTAGTGATCCTGGTCATGAGTGTTACATGGTAATAATTGTAATGCGAATATTTCGTTGAGTTGTCTTTTCTGTCGTTTCTCCTCTCTTCCTTTTTGCATCTTTGCAAATGTTCCATTTGAAATACAACCTAAGTTTCACCCTCTACCTTCTTTTTGTGTTGATCACAACTTTTTGAGCTACAACACACATATCTAGAGCTTAGAATTATGATCTATGTTCCTATAATGATCAGTGTTGATATGATGAGCAGGTCAGGACTCTATTGGTTTAGTTAGAACTCACAGCTAGTATGAGCCTTTGTTTACTGCAGCATGCTTGTCAAATTTATTTATCAGCATGTCCCTTTTTTCTACTCCCTCCGTCCGAAAATACTTGTCATCAAAATGGATAAAAAGGGGTGTATCTAGAACTAAAATACATCTAGATACATCCCCTTTTATTCATTTTGATGACAAGTATTTCCGGACGGAGGGAGTATGTTATAAGCTGCTATAGTTTAGTGCTAGGTCAAATTACTAATGAATTTTGTTGAATTTTTAGGTAAAACATTGTTATTGGTATCTTAATGTTCGAATTATAGGGGAAGTTTGTAAACAATTGACCACCATGGGAGTCCATAATTTGTCCCTCGTAAATTCATGGTTAATAGAAGACTAATAAGCTACAGAATGCTTATCCCTTCACATCACATTTCAATAGAAACAAGTCGAACAGAATCTTTGTAATAGCCACACTTTCATTTCATATACATAGGTGAATAATAATACATCCTATTCACACCACTCTTATTCATGTTACAAATAAGAACACCATAATAACACAACCTCGGGATATCCAGGGCACCTCCAAGCAGCACCTCTTATTTGAACTTTCACACTGGACAAAGCATGAGCAGATAATATCATGACTAAGGAACTCTGGCTCTCTTAAGAAGATGGATACATGGTTGTGCTCTTCTGGAGTGCCTTATCCACCTCCAGTACTTTTCTGTCCTTTCTCCTCTCTCCCTTTTCCCCTGTACTTTCTGTGTCTTTGCAAATGCCATTCCATTTGAAATACAACCTAAGTTTCATGCTGTACCTTATTCTTTTCGTGGTGATCACAACCTTTTGAGCTACAGCACCACATATCTAGAGCTTAGAATTATGATACATGATCCTATAACTATCAGTATTGATATGATGAGCAGGTCAGGACTCTCTTGGTTTAGTCGGAACTCACAGCTAGTATGAGGTTGTTTACTGTGGCATGCCTGCCAAATTTATTTATCAGCATGTACCCTTTTTCTGTGTTATAGGCTGGTATAGTCAGAACTTCGTTGTAGTTTTAAGTAAGATATTTTTATTGGTATTTTAATGTTCGGATTATAGGGGAAATTAGTAAACAATTGGCCATCGTGGGAGTCCATAATTTATCCCTCCTAAATTGATGGTTAATAGAAAGACCAAATATGCCACAGAAAGCTTATTGTCTCACATCATATTCAAATAGAAACGAGTCGAACAGAATCACTGTAATAACCACACTTTCATTTCATATATAAGAATATCATACAGCAGTGAATAACAGTACAGCCTATTTCACATCACTCTTATTCATGTTACAAAGTAGCATAACCTCAGGATATCTAGGGCACCTCCAAGCAGCACCTCTTATTTGAACTTTCATGCTGGACGAAGCATGAACAGATAATACCATGACTAAGGAACCTTGGTTCTCTTAAGAAGATGGATACATAGTTGTGCTCTTCTGGAGTGCCCAAGACATGTGCTTACGCTTGATGAAGTCTGAAGCCACCGAATCCACATCTGTATTCACATCATCTTTCTTGATAGGATTGGCATGGTTGTCCTGAAACCTGACTTGTTTTTTGGGCGCTTGGACATGGTTCGCTCCTACTGCTGCTTCTTTCTTCGTAACACTGGCATGGTTGTCCTGAAAGTTGGCATGGGGATGGTGGGCTTGGAAGTAGAGCATACGAGTGTGCGACATTGCTCTGTGGCTCCTTGCTTGGGGGTACGAGGAAATGCTGGAAGGGTAGGAACTGGTTTGTTGCTGTGATGTGCTCTTGTCCTCTTTTATAGGCCCATAAGGATGCTTATTCTTAGACGGCAAGTGGGCATCATATTCTCCACTGCTGACAATTTTGAGATATTTTTCGTGTTCTCTTTCTTGTTAGCTTTCTTCATTCAATTTGTTAGGCGTTGAATGACTCCATCTTTATCTTGTAAAGTATTTTTGCTTGCTAGGGCTTCTCGCTTAGCGTGGACCTAAGTTAAGTTCCTTCTGCAGTTCTTTTTTCATAGGACGCAGTTGAGTTGTTTTTCCACTTCCTCTCATAAAGATAAGTAATATCTTCTTTCGTATGCTGGCATGAACCAGTTCAGGAAATTATATATTTTACACTTTTTGTTAACCGTGAATAACAAGGCAAGTCCCAAGCATATGATCCAGCTCTTTTACTGCAGTGATTTGTGATAATATTCAGTCCATGGATCCATCAAACTACTAGAAAAAATAAGGATGCTTATTCTCCGCTTTTGACAATTTTGAGCGACTATTTCGTGTTAGCTTTCTTCATTCAAATTTGTTAGGCGTTGAATGACTCCATCGTTATCTTGTAACATGATTTGGCTTGCTAGGGTTCTAGCTGAGCATGGACCTAAGTTTTTAGTTCCTTTTGCAGCTTCTTCTTCTCTCTCTCTTTTTAAATAGGATTTGTTGATTTGCTTTTCCCCTTCAGCTGGTAAAGATAAGTGGTATCTTCTTTCATATGCTGGATTATAAATTTTTCCACCTTTCATTAACTATGAATAACAAGGCAAGTCCTAAGCATATATATTGTCTAGCTCTTTTACTGGGTTTATCTGTTTCACTGTATTTTTAGTTAATTTCATCCCTGTGACTGTCTACATGAACTCTGATTGAGTGATAGTCGTGCTGCAGCGATTTGTAATTTATTCAGTCCCAAGGATCCATCAAACAACTGGGACAAAAATAACGTTTCCTTTCTTTATCTTTTTCTGGAAGGTATCATAATTTATAATAATCTGCTTCAAATTTTGTTTTTGTAGTAGAGGTAGGGCAACCTGGTGCATGTAGCTCCCGCTTGCGCAGGGTCCAGGGAAGGGTGCCCATGAATTTAGAACCATGCTCTGGTGACTATTACTACATTATACGTGTATGCTGTTTCTTGTGACGAAAAGCTTTCCCATTGCTCCTTTCCTTTGCATATGATTCTAAACCTATCATCTTCCTGTTTCTGAAAGGGTGTGCATCAGAATTGCTATCGAGCTGCCTCGAAGGCATTACCTTTTCCTAAAGGTGTTCATGAATTTAAAGCCATGCTCTGGTGTATGTATAGATGCTGCAACTATTACTAACATTATACGTGTATGATGCTTCCCTGCGGGGAAAAGCCACCACCAGTGCTCCTTAACTTTGCATATGATTCTCAGTCTATCATCTTTCCATTTCCCGAAAAGAACTGGATGCTTTTTCTATTTCTTCGGTCCACATTTCATGTTCCTGAATAATAATGATATCCTGCAACCACAATGAAAGGGACCTAACCACTGCTTCCATTTGCCTGCAGAGACGGATGTGCCGCACGATCGGATGAAAACGATGCGGAAGACGCTGCCTGGAAGGCATATCCGATGTGGTGGCGCTCCGTGGATCAATCCAGGGCGCTGGTTTCTTGACGGAGTTTGGCATGATAGTGATTGGCAATAATAGAAAGAAGTCATATGTTGATAGGTAGATAGATATGCTCCCTGCCTGGGAAGATGCTTCGTGCATCCCATGCGCTAGCACTATTATCCGCAGAATGTTTATCACATGGGCATCTTGATAATTTTATATATCCTTTATTATACAGTTGGAAATGTAACAGTTTATATTCTAGAAAAGCGGCAATGCTTGGTGGCTGTCAAATTTTTACAATGCCTTACTACAGTTGAGAACTTGCAGGCCTTCTAGAATGTCAGCACTCAGCAGTTCGTTTCTTTTTGTTATACTCCCTCCGTTCTGAATTACTTGTCGCAAGTATGGATGTATCTAGATGTATTTTAGTTCTAGATACATCCATTTTTGCGACGAGTAATTTAGAACGGAGGAAGTATATGTTTTGCCATCAGTTTTTGCTATATGTAAGTTACTTGTTCTTGTTTCATTGGGCCGATCAATTAGTTGGCAACCATTTGATCTGTATGGAAATCTGTGCCCTGTGATTCGATACTGATACAAGATGTGACCATAGTCATGAAAATTCAGCCACCTTGCATACAGAATGTGACCTATGATTGGATATTTTGATACAAGATGTTGATAGATGCTCACGGCTTGCCTGTCTGTTGCCCACATAGATGCTTTTCATTTGTCCGTATACTCTTATATTTTGTAGGAAAATTTACTTTGATCTTGATTTTGCACACATAATCTTGCTATTTTTATATATATTTGGAAGCAATCATTGACTTCTATTTTGATCCTTGACAAAAACGATTGGTAAATTCTGTTTTGTTAGCCTTGGGGGCTGCAAATTATATGGTTTTGATCTTCTGGACTTCAAAAGACCGTATGAATCTATTCAAGGGGATTCGGGGGTGAAAAGTATACTTTCCTCCTTATATTTCTCGCCAAATTTTCCATGTGACATGTTACATCATGCTAAACATTTTTTTCACTTTCCCATAAAAATTACAGTCTAAAATAATAATAATTTTAAAATTAGGCGAATAATATATAAGTTTCGCATGTTAATTTTTAGGGGAATTTCGCATGTTAAATGGAACAACCTTTTTTTTCTCTTTCTGGGCCCAGCTCTACCCGCGGCCCGGCCCACTCTCAAGCTCAGCCTCATCCACTTCCCTCCCCCGCCACCGGCACCGCTGCTCGCCGGCTCTCGGAATCCCCGCCGGCCAGCCTCCGGGCTGCTCCCATGGCAGCGGCGGCGTCCACGGCGACGCTCTCCGGCCGCGCCCGTCCGCTCCCCAACACCCTAAGCTCCGGCCCCCGCGCCACCCGCCTCGCCCCATTCGCGTCGCGCTCACGCCCCCGCCCGCTTCGCGCCGCCGCCGGCGCCACCCTCCGCGAGGTCTGCTCCGGCCGCGTCCCCGACCACGTCCTCCAGAGGCAACGGCCCCTCCGACACCCCACAGCCCCCATTCTTCCTCCCCCTTCCTGCATTCGGTATCAATTTCTCACTGAAAGTTCAGTATTTTGCAGGGCCGAGGACGTCGGGTACACCTCACCCACCGAGGTGCAGGAGCAGTCCCTGCCGGTGCTCCTCGCCGGCCAGGACTGCATCCTCCACGCCCAGGTGCGCGGTCGCCGCCGCCCTCAAGCTCCGTCGATTTCTTCTGGACACCCATACTGCAGAATGACAGTGTGATTCTCAACTGGAAACTCTGTGGTTGGATGTAGACAGGTTCAGGGAAGACGCTGGCCTACCTCCTGGCGGTCTTCTCGGCGATAGACGTCGGCCGGTCCTCGGTGCAGGCGCTGGTCATCGTGCCGACGCGGGAGCTCGGCATCCAGGTGAGGTTGTCTTGTAGCTGATGTTTTGCTCTGCTGTGTCAGCCTCGCATGTGCCTGGCGAGAGGTCTGACTGGCCTGCTGCTGTTTGTATGTATGACGTCGCCGCAAGGTCACCAAAGTTGCCAGGCTTCTCGCGGCCAAGACTTGCAACGTCATGGCTTTGCTTGACGGCGGGATGCTCACGAGGCAAAAGAGCGGGTAAAGGCAAGTGATCGATCATCCCTTGGTGGATTTCTGTGTCGATGCCGATGCATGCCTAGTTGCATATTCATGTATAATTCTGTTCTACTTGGTATATGAAGAGTGCTGTTGTAGTGTTATATAATGTACTATGCATTTCTTTTATCTGTTGTGCTGTCTCCCTGATAACAACATTGGTCTGTTTTCAGGCAGAGCCCCCTGCAATAATTGTAGCAACTGTTGCAAGCTTGTGCCAGATGGTTGAGAAGCGTGCTTTCAGTCTTGGGTCGATCAAAATACTAGTTATCGATGAGGTGGCCACTCTGTTCTTCAGCCGCAAACCAAGTTTACCTATGCAGTGTCTACATATCTCCTATGATGCCATGCTTATTCGTTTGGAAAGAGATTAGCTAATTTCAAAAACCTTGCTGTTTTGTCAGGTTGATTTCATTTTTGGATCATCAAAGCAAGTGAACTCCCTTCGCAAGATACTGAATTCTTACACAGCAGCTTCCAGCCGTCAGACCATATTCGCTAGCGCATCCATACCTCAGCACAATCGCTTTGTGCATGACTGCGTACAACATAAATGGACTAAGGTTGATTCTAGCGTTCATTCACCGGTTATGGACTATTGTGACTGTTTGCCTACGTGCCTTGAATATGCATTCTCATCACTGCCTGAATGGCTGTGCCTTTTGAACTTCAGATGGATACAGATATTAGTTTTCACATGTGTGTCTTACCTTTGTGCAGAGCGATGTGGTTCATGTTCATGTCAACCCTGTCCAGCCCATGCCTTCACACCTACATCACACATATGTGGTGAGCATATCTTTTAATGACCACTTTCATCTTAAAGTTTATTTCCTGCATGGTACATTTGAATTTGCTCTTACTTTTCCTCCCACAAGCTTAGACACTCACTAGAAAATTTAGTTGTTTTACATGGCATGGCAGACCTTCTCTTATTCTCCATGGATCTTCCCCTCCACAGCTAGTATCTTCTGATCAACTAAGTGCACAAGCACAACCAATCTCCTTACTCCTGAAAGTTCTTTTTTGACCTCATTCTGATTCTCAATCCTTACGAGAACATAATCAATGTACAGATCTGCAGCAAGAAGGAACGGTTGCATGTTTTGCTATCCTTGCTTGAGAGGGATGCACCAAAGTCGGTGATTATATTTGTCGCTCAACAGGTAATGGTATAAATTAATTCATTTTATGCCATGCCACGTCGATTGTAAAATAGCTCATGTATCATGGGATACCCCTTCACCTGTTTTCCGAGGTGCTAACTTATGAACTATCATAGCGAGATCCATCATAGTTTCAGTTTCTGCTATGGTAGTGGCATGGTTCTATGATCAGTGCCCTGTTCAAAACCGTAGTGTTATTATTATGCCTTAAAATTAGTTCCACTTGGAAAACTTCTATATTCATATAAGTGACAATTCTGGGTTAGTTTATAATTGCTGTGTTGTCAAGTTCTTAGAACTCATGCTGATAGTAAATGAGTCTCGACTAAATCATGGTAGACTAGTAGTTATCTGAGAACAGTACTCTGTTTGATAACCGTTGCAACCTATTCTTTTTAGTCTGAGAAATCAAAAAGGGCTGGAAATCCTCCGTCGTCTACACTTGTTGTCGAGTTCCTGAGAACCAAGTATAAAGGCACCCTGGAGGTGCTTGTACTAGAAGAAGATATGAATTTCAACGCTCGGGCTACCTCTTTTACTGTAAGTGCTCCCATTCAGTTCTTTGTCTAGACCCCCAGCATCTTGATTATGTTGATTGAAGACCCGTGCATCAATTTACCGTATGGCTGCAGGAAGTCAAGGGAAAAGGTTTCCTGCTAGTTTCGACGGACATAGCGAGCAGAGGGTTTGACCTTCCGCAGACCAGCCACATATACAACTTCGACCTTCCTAAGACGGCGACCGACTACCTCCACCGTGCCGGAAGAACCGGGAGAGAACCATTCTCCAAGTCAGAGTGCAGCGTGACAACCCTCATAACAGAGGAGGAGCACTTCGTGCTACAGAGGTTCCAGAACGAGCTCAAGTTCCACTCCCAACAGCTGCCCTTGGAGTGCATGTTTACTTTCAACTTGTAAATAGTTTCTTCCTCCCTGTTTTATCTGGACTGGAGGATTTTGTATGTAGAGGTGCTAACATCCGTGAATCTTAATGAACTTGTCACAATTCAACCGCATTCGATTCGTAGTTCCGCTCATCCACAAACATTATCGTTACATAAACGATGCAAACGATAACAAATTCAGAACCATTATGTTCTGGCACAATGGAAGCTGCCTAGATGCTCGTGGGATCATTCCATAAGCGATACCGATGACTGTCTAGTTTGGGGTGGCGCCTGGTCTATCATGAAGAGTATGGCTACAGGTGCTGGACTACTGGCATTGCTGGCAAGTGATAGGTTCTACAGGCTCCTCAATCAGTCTCATATCATAGGCCACGATCTTCACCTTGGGGAGGACTGTTTCGATCTCCTCGTTCTTGAATGTTGTGTTTCTCAGGATGAGAGTCCACTCGCTGTCGCAGAACCTGTACGTGCGCAGATTGCCGCCCTGTCAAGCCAAGAGGAAAACAATCATGCATGTGAATGAAATCAATGTATGGATGGAAACATGACTATACAGATTCCAATATTGTGAAGACAGTGTTCTGAATTTGACGGAAACCAGGAAATCATTACAGATTACAATATTGTGAAGACAGTATTCTGAAACCAAGAAATCATGCATGTCAATGAAATCAATGTATGCATGGAAACATGGCTACAGATTACAATATTGTGAAGACAGTATTCTGAATTTGACGGAAATACTAGCCAGGCAGAACTATTTGAGTGAAGCTATTGCCATGTAGAAGTATTGCTTTCTGAAATAATTAAACAGCATCACCTAGATGCTTGCCAGGCCATGCAAAAATGAGTGTTGTTTCCAGAATTATTTCTGGGTTTCAATACAGTATGTTCTCCAAAACTCAGCAAACAAATTCAGATACTACTTGGAAACGGTTGCAAGAAACTACCGTATGTAAGTTAAGAGTGAAATCATCCAGTAGGTCCATATGGAAGTCAGGAACAAGACAGGAAATTAATCCACACACTTGCATGTTGCAGACAGTTTAACCTTCCATAAACTAAGCAATTAATATGAGCACATAGTTACATACTATGTTTCAGACAAAAGCAAACAAATCTCCTGGAATGCCTTAACTGATCACGAAATTGTGGTTTAACTGAAACAAATCTCCTGCCATATATAATTTGTTCAGGTTTATTTTCCAGGGGAAGAATAAATCTGCTTCTAAACGAACACATGTCGGCCCTGTGGTGAGTTGGAAAATAACTGTGCCGAGAAATTTACTTCACAATTAAGCACGCAAGTCAACATGGCACCGAATCAAACATAAGGCATAAAAGCCCTGCATCATCAGGATAACAACTAGTTACACTGACAGGTAGCAACAGCAGCAAGGTATCTCAGCATGCATTGCATTAACTATTCCCTTCAAACAAACCTGTATGTATGTGCATCACAATAGCAGAGAGATGAATGTGTAGCACATATAAGAAAGAGAGTAGGGAATTTGGTTGGCACCTTGAAGACGGCCTTGCTCTCGACATGCTTGTCCAGCGCGTGGCAGATGGACTGAAACAACAACAAGAACAAAAACAAGACCAGGATCAAAACACCACCTAGCTAGATGCTAGCTCGCTGTTGATCGATGAGTTTCGGAGAGGAGCCAGTGCAGTGCAGTGACAGCGTGTGGAAGGGAAGGGAAGGGAAGGGAAGGGAAGGGGGTGACCTTGTCGAACTGCATGACGACGGCCATGGCGAGCTCCGGGCTGAGCGCGCCGCTGCTCACCATCTCGTTCAGCGTGTCGATGAGGGCCACGCCGATCGCGGACTGCCGGTACAGTTCGATGGCCTCCGCCATCCCCTCCCCTCACCCCTGATCCCTGCCGGTCAACAGTAAGCAGCAAGCATCAGTCAGACGAGATTCCCAAGCCGCCTCGCCCCTGCAATCGAACCGACGCACGACACGCCCGCCGCAAGAGAAAACCCTAGACGTCGGGCCCCCGGGGCGCCGCCGCCGAACCAATCGCGCCGCGGCTGCCGGTAACCAGAAACCCCACCCGTCCGGAATGCAGCCAGCTCTGACCTGGTCGATCGGCGGCGGGTGCGCCGGTCGCCGCTCCGGATCTGGAGCCGCAGGGCGGGCGGGCGGGCGAGGCCGGGGTCGGGGTTTGGGAGCGGAGTGGAGCGGAGGAGGAATTCGAAATTCGAAATCGGGGAGCTCCTCCGTTTATGTACGGAGGACGGGAGGAGGCGGGCGGGGTGCTTCTGCTTGGCTTGCTTGCTGGCTACTGCGTCGGTTCTCCTCATTATTAATTCCCGTTTTGCCCCTGGAAGCCAAGCCAGTGGGTGGATTGTGTTCCGCAACTCCGCCGGCGAGTCCTGTCCGAGGTTGCGGAGCAAGAGCGAGCGTCGTAGACGAAGTAGTTGAACACGTGAAAGTAAATGACACATGGAGATATGGAGGAGACCAGCTTTATTAATCAATGATCAGGTGTTACAATGATGACTCCTCGTTGCTTTATATAGGGAGTAGGGGGTCAAGGGATAAATACCAACTTAACGTAAAGATGGGAAACGGGAGGGGCTATCCCGAGCGCTTCGTGCGCTAGCCGCCGCCACCCTCGTGGTGGCCCCGGTTTCCCCACACTCCCCCTTGGGTAATTATCCGTATATCCATGCCTCAAAATTCCGAAAAACCCAGTGGGAAAAAAATGAAGAAAGAGCGCACAGTATACATTGTTGTATTGCACGAATTGCCTCGTCAAAAACCTCGTGTGAGAAACATCAAGAAAACTCACTCAAGGGAAAAAGAGTACAATCCACTCAACCATCAAGTTGAGTACTCGATCATCAGGATCGAGATTTTAACGACGAATTTGTGAAGTTTCTCCCCCTGAACCTTGCATCTCTCTAAGTCTCATCATACCGATTCCACGCACACACCTCTCTAAGGTTGATGCCGGTAATGATTTAGTGAACATATCAACAAGATTGTCACATGACTTAGTATGCAAAACTCTCACCTCGTTCAACTGTTGCAGCTCATGTGCATAGAAGAACTTGGGACTAATATGCTTTGTGAGGTTACTCTTCACATAACCCATCTGGACTTGTGCAACACAAACAACATTATCTTCATAGACAATGGTAGGAGTTCGTACGGTGTTCAGCCCACATGTCTGCTGAATGTGGCCGATCATCCGCCGAAGCGATACACACTCTTTTGACGCTTCGAATAGTGCCATGATTTCTGAGTGGTTCGTGGAAGTCGACACAAGTGTTTGCTTGGACGATTTCCAGGAAAACACAGTTCCACCACAAAGGAAAACATATCCAGACTGCGATTTGCAATCATGTGGGTCCGATAGGTACCCAGCATCGGCATAGCCTATAATAGATAGGTCTTGATTTCTTTTATAAAACAGGCCAAAACTTTGGTCCCTTGCAGGTAACGGAAGACGTCCTTGTTGGAAATATGCCCTAGAGGCAATAATAAATTGGTTATTATTATATTTCCTTGTTCATGATAATCGTTTATTATCCATGCTAAAATTGTATTGATAGAAAACTCAGATACATGTGTGGATACATAGACAACACCATGTCCCTAGTAAGCCTCTAGTTGACTAGCTCGTTGATCAATAGATGGTTACGGTTTCCTGACCATGGACATTGGATGTCGTTGATAACGGGATCACATCATTAGGAGAATGATGTGATGGACAAGACCCAATCCTAAGCCTAGCACAAGATCATGTAGTTCGTATGCTAAAGCTTTTCTAATGTCAAGTATCATTTCCTTAGACCATGAGATTGTGCAACTCCCGGATACCGTAGGAGTGCTTTGGGTGTGCCAAACGTCACAACGTAACGTCACAACATAACTGGGTGGCTATAAAGGTACACTACAGGTATCTCCGAAAGTGTCTGTTGGGTTGGCACGAATCGAGACTGGGATTTGTCACTCCGTGCAAACGGAGAAGTATCTCTGGGCCCACTCGGTAGGACATCATCATAATGTGCACAATATGATCAAGGAGTTGATCACGGGATGATGTGTTACGGAACGAGTAAAGAGACTTGCCGGTAACGAGATTGAACAAGGTATCGGGATACCGACGATCGAATCTCGGGCGAGTATCGTACCGCTAGACAAAGGGAATTGTATACGGGATTGATTAAGTCCTTGACATCGTGGTTCATCCGATGAGATCATCATGGAACATGTGGGAGCCAACATGGGTATCCAGATCCAGCTGTTGGTTATTGACCGGAGAGTCATCTTGGTCATGTCTGCATGTCTCCCGAACCCGTAGGGTCTACACACTTAAGGTTCGATGACGCTAGGGTTATAGGGAATAGATATACGTGGTTACCGAATGTTGTTCGGAGTCCCGGATGAGATCCCGGACGTCACGAGGAGTTCCGGAATGGTCCGGAGGTAAAGATTTATATATGGGAAGTCCTGTTTTGGTCGCCGGAAAAGTTTCGGGTTTTATCGGTAATGTACCGGGACCACCGGGAGGGTCCCGGTGGTCCACCAAGTGGGGCCACCAGCCCCGGAGGGCTGCATGGGCCAAGTGTGGGAGGGGACCAGCCCCAGGTGGGCTGTTGCTCCCCCCCACCAAGGCCCAAGGTGCAAGGAAGAGTGGAAGGGGGCAAACCCTAGGCTCAGATGGGCCTAAGGCCCACCTAGTGGTGTGCCCCCCTCTCTTCCCCCTTGGCCGCCACCCTTAGGGGTGGAAACCTAGGTGGGGGCGCAGCCCCTCCCCCCCTATATATACTTGAGGTTTTGGGCTGCCATAGACACGAATTCTCTCCCTGTTGGCGCAGCCCTACCCCTCTCCCTCCTCGTCTCTCGTAGTGCTTGGCGAAGCCCTGCTGGAGTCCCGCGCTCCTCCACCACCACCACGCCGTCGTGCTGCTGCTGGATGGAGTCTTCCCCAACCTCTCCTTCTCCCCTTGCTGGATCAAGGCGTAGAAGATGTCACCGGGCTGTACGTGTG